AAGCGAAAAATGAAGAAGAACATGAATAAAAATAATTATATTATACAATAATATATTGTATGATATAGATAGGAATTAAAAGACAGTTTATAATAAAGATAAACTATACAAAATAAGGCCTATGATTGACAAAATGAATTCCGTTTTCAAACAGCATTATTTTGGGACAAGGGAAGTGAGTGTAGACGAAAGCATCGTTATTTTTATTGTTTAACATTCAAGTTTGTAGTGTTTGTACTAATAAGTAAGATGCCTAGGAAGTGTGTCATTTGCAATGCTTATGATAAAAAAAAGTGACCAATCATTTTATTTGTAAGTAAAATAATCATATTTTAACATAATAGTTTTCTTATATTTTTCATGTAAACCTTCGTGGGTAGTTTGTTCTATAAAAATATTTTTCTTTCAATATATGTTTTAATACTTTTTTTTCTTTATTAGCTACCAATATTTAATGAATTACAGCTCAACTGTTACAACTAAATATACCTAAATAGTTTTATTTTTTATTAATTTTAATGTATATTATATACAGATACATGATGGCCAGGCGTAAGCAAAATCTCTAGTTAGGCAGGTAATAGAGGAAGAACCTATAGGCAAGACCTTTACGAAGACCCAGATTGGGGTGGGAAGACTGTGTAAAAAAGGACTTAAAAACGTTAGAGCCAGGAATCAGATAGAGAGAAGCTGCGGAAGACAGGGACAGATGGCAAGATTTGTATTTAGAGGTATAGTCTTAAAGGCTGAAACCAAGAAGAACAAGGACAAGTATTAGGCCAAGCATGGTTTTAACCAATCCAATTCTTTTAGAACATATGAACCTGCAAAACACGCTCAGAGGAATCAAGTTTAATTGGAAACAACCTATAGCCTATTACCTTATTTCAAATAGCTGTTCTGAGACGGATCTTAATATAATTATTTTTTACTTTTCAAATATTATTAAACTAGGAAATGTTAACCAAAAAAATTAACATACAATTTGCTAAGTTAATCAATAATTAGAGAAATCTTTTTCAGAAGACTTTCAATTTGGTTGTTCATGAAGCTCTGTGTAACGATGAATTTAACCCTTTAGCGAATAGTGGTAACCATATTTACCACTAGGTTTTTTTCAATAAATGTGTGATATGACACTCATTATTGATGTTAAGTGTCCAATTTTGGTGTCTATGTATTCTTAGAATGTTTATCATCAATAAATTATAAGTTTTATTTGCTAAGACTTCATTGGTCAGTAGATATAACAAAAAAAAAAAGGTGGTAAGTATATTTACCACTGCTCACTTGTTGGTCACGTGAAATTGTTCTTAACAATATTTGAAATATTTGATTTATCAAGCAACCAGTGTAGCCACACCGATGATTGTTTTATTTTCTAAATCACGTGAAAATTTAACATGATATGAAGTAATCAATTATTTTTCGCTCCTTTTCGAAAAGATAATATCGAAATTCAAATATGATAGGGTCGTGAAAATGAACTGATTACATTCGATTACGGTTCGTGAATTTGCATCTTTGCGATGTAAACACAATTTATATTAATATATATTCAAGCATACAGGTATGTTTTAAATTTATACTTATATTATTTTATTAGCAAACAGGTATAGGTATATCAAATAAATAAGTAATTTATTTTTATGATTTTAGTATGGATGAAGATAGTGTAAGGGACTATTTATTTTCAATCACTTTTGAGCAAGCTGAATGCTCTGATATTGATGGTGATTCAGATTTTGAAGACGGATTATTAATAACTAGTCCACAGCACAAAAATACAAGAAGTACTTCATCACAATCTGATTCTCCAGCATATGAACCAGATGTAACCAAATCACCAACCATACCAGTATCAAGTATATCTAGTAGCACACCACCACCTACTCTCAATTTTTCTCCAAATGATTTTGACATTATGAGTATGCCCATAGAAATAATTGAAAATGGTGATGTGTCTACTGAAATAAATGTAGATAATATTGTTTCTCCTAACATTTTGCCAATAAGCAACAAATTAACAAAAAAAAAAAAAAAATTTCCTCAACCAACATTGATTTTCAAATGGAAAAAAAGAGGTTGTAGACCTAAAACATTTAGGAGATATAAATTCACACAACCTTTTGGACCCAAAGTACCTGTTGATATAAATAGTCCAATTGATATTTTTAAACTGTTTTTTGATGATGATATTCTATATACTTTCAAGACTCAATCTGAATTATATGCTGCTCAATGTAATCAACAATTTGTTACTTCAATTGAAGAACTACAAGCCTTTTTTGGCTGTCTCATCATAATGGGATTTCATAAATTACCTACTATTCGTTCTTACTGGTCAACAGATGCCAATTTTCAAGTCCCAAGGATATCATCTATTATGTCATTAAAAAGATTTCTGTCTATACTACGATTTCTCCATTTGAATAATAATTTAACTATGCCTAAACGGGGACATGTTAATTATGATAAATTATACAAAGTGCGACCGCTGATCAACAAACTAAATGAAAAGTTTTTTTCAAATTTCAACCCATCTAGAAATATTGCTATAGATGAAAGTATGGTTGCTTTCAAGGGAAGAACCACAATTAAACAATATATGCCACTTAAACCAATCAAACGAGGTATAAAAATTTGGGCAGCTGCATGTTCTAAGACTGGATACCTACTACAGTTTGAAGTATACCAAGGCAAGCAAGGAGATCCAGAAATTGGTCTTGGAGAAAAAGTTGTGACACATTTAGCTAATCTTTATGACAACAAAGGCTATTGTTTTTATTTTGATGGGTTTTTCAGTAATATTCCTATGGTGAAAAATATGGTTGAGAAAAATAATTTTGCATGTGGTACTATCAAATAAAATAAAAAATATTTTCCATCTAGTGTTCTAAAAGATGACAAAAAACTAAAACAAGGTCAGTTTGATGTAGTTACTTCTAATGAAATAACTATAAGTAAGTGGAAAGACAGAGGAAAAAAGTGTGTAAATGTAATTAGTAATATGCATGATGGCAGTTGTATTGGTTCTGTTTCTAGAAGAGACAATCTAGGAGTTAAACAAGTAGTGAAGGCTCCAGCTGCTATTGTAGACTATAATAAGTATATGGGGGGTGTCGACCATTTTGATCAGTTTCATTCTTACTACAATGTGGCCTGGAAGTCCAGAAGATGGTGGCTAAAAATATTTTATTATCTTCTAGATGCTTCTATAGTAAATTCATTTGTGCTATATCAAACTACTAGTAATCTCCATGACCCAAAATCATCAAAATATACACACCTAAATTTCAGATTAACATTAGCAAATCAATTAATTGGTGATTATTCTTCAAAAAAAAAACCGGGTATTCAAAAGTCAATGCAAAGAAAATTGACAAAAAAAACTGGAAAAGTGATTGTTGGCAACCAATATTACCTACAAAATGTTGGTGATCATTTACCAACAAAAGGTACATATCGTCGCTGTGGATATTGTAGTACTAAAGAGACACAGAAACGTTCAAACATTATTTGCAAAATGTGTGATATTGCACTTTGTTTAGAATGTTTTGCACCCTTCCACAAGAACCCCTAAAACACTATTTTGTTGTATACAATGCATACCATTTTATTAAAAATGTAGGCATGTTTGAAATATTTTATATTATTATTAATTTAATTTTGTTTTTTTTTAATTTTTAAAAAGGTAAGGTTTTGTGATGTATTTACTTCTACTTTGTTAGTTGTAATTATTTATTAAGTCTGAATATTCAATTTATAAAGTTTGAATATGTTTTAAGTTTATAATATGTATTTCCTTCTTTATTTATTTTTTAAGTTTTACTATTTTGTTTAATACTATGTAATACTATGTTTTGTAATTTTAAAATACTTTCTATAATTTGTTGTCGCTCTGTTTTTTTTATGATTTTAAAATAGCAATATTTTGTTGTATACTCTTGTATTTTATTTGAGTCTGAATTTTAATTTTGTTGTTTTATTTTTAATTAGTTTGTTGATTTCTTTGTTTTTTAATAAAAAAATAATATTTATTATTTGTTTATTTAATTATTTAATTATTTTGTACATAATATATAAAAAGTTGTGAATGGTCTGTGGTAAATATATATACCCCCTTACTTTATTATACATGAGCAGTGGTAAATATATATACCACCTTACTTCATTATACATGAGCAGTGGTAAATATATTTACCACCTCAAAAACAACCCCTCAGAACTACCCTCATTGAGGGATGTTGTAAATAACATGATTTTTAATGTCTTAAAGACTATAGAAATTGAAAAATATAATTTTTTTTTGTCTGTTGTAAGCATAGAATTATGCCCTTTAAAGGGTTAAGCTACCGTTTGTAACTAGATAGTAGCTAATACATCACTGGCTCGAACGCATGTAATGAAGGAGTCTGTATCCGTCCATCATTAGACTATACTTAATTAATTATTTTATAAGATTTACGATTCATGCTGCTATTAAATTTTTAAAAGGGAATTTAATATCAGAAAAACAAAAAAAAAATAGAAAATTGTGTACATTTAATCTTTTATAAATAAATTAGAAAGAAAGAAATTTTGTATTAAAATGTTGTACTTAATTATGTTTATAGGTAATTTATAATAATATGTATTTATTTATAATTGTTTATAATAAAAATTTTAAGTTATTTGTAATTTACCTGCATTCTAACATTTTTTAATTGTTTAATGTTTTATATTGTTTGATATTGTGATAAATTTTGAGAGCTCAAATCCAAAAAAACGTAAAATTTAATTTTGGCTTATACATCACTATCTGTTGATGAAATTAATCATAAGTATTTAGTAAGAGGTCACTCATTTTTACCTTGCAACCAAGATTTTGGCTTAGTTGAAAAGCGAAAAATGAAGAAGAACATGAATAAAAATAATTATATTATACAATAATATATTGTATGATATAGATTTCCTAAAAGACAGTTTATAATAAAGATAAACTATACAAAATAAGGCCTATGATTGACAAAATAAATTCCGTTTTCAAACAGGATTATTTTGGGACAAGGGAAGATAGTGTAGACCAAAGCATGATTAAGTTTAAAGGTAGATTGTCACTAAAACAGTACAATCCAATGAAACCAATTAAAAGAGGATACAAACTGTGGTGCCTAGCTGACCAAAAAGGTTATATTATGAATTTTAAAGTTTATCAAGGCAGAGAAGAACAAGTGAATTCTAGTTTTGAAAAATATGGACTTGGGGAACGTGTGGTACTAGAACTAACAGAACATTTGTGGAATCAAAACCGAGAGGTTTATTTTGATAATCGTTTTTCATCTACATTGTTAATTCAAAAGCTGAAAGTTGAAAAAACACTGGGCTGTGGAACAATTCGAATAAATCGAAAAGGGTTACCGTCAGAAATGACATCTGATAAAACACTGCATCGAGGTAACCACGATTCGAAATATTTGTCAGATGGAACTGCATTTTTTAAGTGGAAGGACAGTAAGCCGGTACATATCATTTTAAACTTCCATGGATCTGAACTGTTACAAGAAAAGAAAAAAATGGCACATCACATCCAGTTCCGTGTAATATAGCAGTTGCTGATTATAATCGGTTCATGGGTGGAGTGGATTTGGCAGACCGATTAAGGGCATTATATAATGTGGAAAGGAAATCACGTAAATGGTGGCACCGAATGTTTTGTGGTCTTATAGACATATTGTTTGTAAGCTCATATATAGTTTATTGTGATTTATTAGAGAAAATATCTGTTTTGCAATTACGGAGAGCCGTTGCACAAGGGCTTTTAACAAATAAACAAATAAAAAAAAACAAGTCACCACAAACACCAAAAAACATGAAACAACGCAAAAATGCATTTTCCGTGCAACGACGAGATGTCAGAACAAGTAATACAGGAGCTCATTGGCTGAAGTTTATAGAAAAAAGAGCAAGATGTGAAGTGTGCAGTTACAAAGGTATGGAATCTAGACTATTTTCTGTGTGTAATCATTGTAAAGTGCATTGTGTGTCAATGAGAAGAAAAACTGTTTTGCCGAATACCATTAAATTAAAACCAATAAATTAACGTACAATTGCTACTTTAATCAATAATTAGAGACATTTTTTTTCAGAAAAATTTAATTTTGGCTTATAAATCACTATCTGTTGATGAAATTAATCATAAGTTTTTAGTAAGAGGTCACTCATTTTTACCTTGCAACCAAGATTTTGGCTTAGTTGAAAAGCGAAAAATGAAGAAGAACATGAACAAAAATAATTATATTATACAAAAATATATATTGTATGATATAGATAGGAAATAAAAGACAGTTTAAGATAAGGTTTGCTGGACAAAATTGGGCCTTTCATCTAACTGATCACTTGAATGAAGTAATTGGGAAATATTAACCAAATAAATTAACATACAATTTGCTAAGTTAATCAATAATTAGAGAAATTTTTTCAGAAGACTTTCAATTTGGTTGTTCATGAAGCTCAGTGTAACGACGAATTTAAGCTACCGTTTGTAACTAGATAGTAGCTAATACATCACTGGCTCGAACGCATGTCATGAAGGAGTCTGTATCCGTCTATTCAGACACAGGCTGCTGACGATCAAACCAAATAAATTAACGTACAATTGCTACTTTAATCAATAATTAGACATTTTTTTTCAGAAAAATTTAATTTTGGCTTATAAATCACTATCTGTTGATGAAATTAATCATAAGATTTTAGTAAGAGGTCACTCATTTTTACCTTGCAACCAAGATTTTGGCTTAGTTGAAAAGCGAAAAATGAAGAAGAACATGAACAAAAATAATTATATTATACAAAAATATATATTGTATGATATAGATAGGAAATAAAAGACAGTTTAAGATAAGGTTTGCTGGACAAAATTGGGCCTTTCATCTAACTGATCACTTGAATGAAGTAATTGGGAAATATTAACCAAATAAATTAACATACAATTTGCTAAGTTAATCAATAATTAGAGAAATTTTTTCAGAAGACTTTCAATTTGGTTGTTCATGAAGCTCAGTGTAACGACGAATTTAAGCTACTGTTTGTAACTAGATAGTAGCTAATACATCACTGGCTCGAACGCATGTCATGAAGGAGTCTGTATCCGTCTATTCAGACACAGGCTGCTGACGATCAAACCAAATAAATTAACGTACAATTGCTACTTTAATCAATAATTAGAGACATTTTTTTTCAGAAAAATTTAATTTTGGCTTATAAATCACTATCTGTTGATGAAATTAATCATAAGTTTTTAGTAAGAGGTCACTCATTTTTACCTTGCAACCAAGATTTTGGCTTAGTTGAAAAGCGAAAAATGAAGAAGAATGTGAATAAAAATAATTATATTATACAATAATATATTGTATGATTGTGCATTAAATATGCACAAGAAATAAGGAAACTTATAGCTGCTTTTGAAAGTCGTTTCACTAATTTAGACAAATACAAGACAATATTTGAAATATATTCATCTCTTTTTCATACTGATGTCAATTCGGCCCCAGAATATCTTCAAATGGAACTCATTGACTTACAATGCAATAATGAATTAAAACACATTTTTGAAACATCAAATAGAACACTACTGTGCGATATTTAAACCGTTTAAAGAAGTTACTATCGAACTAAGTAGCGAAAAAGGCATTTCGATTTCAAAAGTGTTAATTTTAATAAAAGCGTTACATTCACATATAAAAAATAAAGCCAATTACCTTGCAACCAAGATTTTGGCTTAGTTGAAAAGCGAAAAATGAAGAAGAACATGAATAAAAATATTTATATTATACAATAATATATTGTAAGATATAGATAGGAAATAAAAGACAGTTTAAGATAAGGTTTGCTGGACAAAATTGGGCCTTTCATCTAACTGATCACTTGAATGAAGTAATTGGGGAATGTTAACCAAATAAATTAACATACAATTTGCTAAGTTAATCAATAATTAGAACAAGTGGTGGCACAGATTGTTTTTTGGTTTGATCGATATTATGTTTGTAAATTCTTATGTAGTTTATTGCACCTTATTTGAGAAAATTCCTGTGCTGGAATACAGAAAAGCTGTAGCGCAAGGTTTGCTATCCATACAATTGCCACAGAAAAAAAATCACAAGCTCAAATCCAAAAAATGTAAAAAGAAGAAAAACAGCTTATTCTATGCCAAGAGACGTCCTCACTGGAAACCTAGGTATCCATCATCCAACATTCGGAACACAACGTGGAAGATGTGAAGTATGCAACAGTAAAGGTATTGAGTCAAAACCACATTTAAAATGCTCATATTGCAAGGTCCACCTATGTGTTTACGAAAAAAAATTGCTTTTCTGAGTATTATGAAGTATAAAAAAACATCTTAAGTATATAAAAAAAATAAAATTTTCTATAAAGTGTAATCGTTTGTATTTTTTCAAAATTAAAATAAAAAAATCCTTAGGAAATCGTGTTTTTTTTGTATTGTTTATATGTATAAGAAAAATAATCTTAATGCCTGACGGGACTTATAAGTCAAGACCGTAAAGGACTGATGGGACTTTTGAGTCCCAGGATAAAATAAGGATCAAGGATCAAAAATAATAGATTTATTTTATCATACCTTATCTTAGATATAGGAAAAAAATCGAAATTCACAAAATTTTTTTTATATTTTTAATGTTTATAAGCTATCGTCCAGAAAGGGTTAATCTGTTATAACATTTTTAATTATTATTTATTTAGACCTTATTAAGCTGCGGTAAGAGCGATTTATAAAAGAATGCTGCTGGGAAAAAGCACAGTGATAATGTAAAACTAATACCTCAGTCAACATCAGAGATGCATTACAACGTACAACGTTTGATTCTGAACAAAAAATACAGTTTAAGATAAGGTTTGCTGCATTTTATTCTGAACACAATTGGGCCCATAGGCGTGTCTACGGGTCTTGCCTGTCATGCACAGGCATGACCTGCGAAATTTGATCTAACTTACATTATAAATTGCGGTACATAATAGTATACACTTTTTTTCTTAGATTCTAATTTCATATTAAATTTTTTGATTTTCATCATGTGGACTTTTAGTATCTATTACAATTATTGAAATTTTTTTTAGGGGGTGGGGGGTGCAGAAACCTACTTCCCCTGAATATGCCATTACTGTGCATGACCTGCGAACAAGGTCTGGACACGCCTATGATTGGGCCCTACATCGAACTGATAACTTGAATGAAATAATTGGGAAATGTTAAGAGGGCTGCAGCTCACGTATTTTTCATACGTTTTAGACCAATAAGCGGTGGTAGGTAAATTACACATACTTCGGAATGTCCGATTTAATTTTTTTATATATGTTTGAATTCATTGATAAAATATCTAGGTTTCTTAGGAAGTCGATTTTCAATTTTCAATTTAAAATGACCTTAAAATAACCATTTTTTTTTTTAGAAATCCCATGAAATAATTGCATTACATTAGTATTTATTTTGGACACATCTGATTTTAAATAAAAAAAATTGATTCCTAAGAAACATAGTCTAGAAGTTTATAAATTCAACCATTTTTTCGAAATTACAATCGAACTTCGGGAAGTATGATTAATTTACTACCGCTTCTAGTAGTTTTTATAGTCATGCAAACAAAAATATATTTCATTTTTCGAACTGAATTGACATGTGCGTGCGCGTGTGAGAATTGTTTCCGGCGCGGTTGCCCAACTCGACGTGACAGCGATTCTCGGAAACAATTAGCAGATAAGAATTACTGGATAGGTATACAAGAATAATTAATAGGCAACAATAATAATAATATTTTTCCAAAATTAAATAAAACCAATATACGAGTATAATATACTACCTATGAATAGGTAGTATGAATCATTATATTTATATTATTTCTATTATATTTATATTATATCATTATATTTGAACACTACACTAGTACACTCTGATCAGTAAAGTTGTCTGTGAGTTTTTATATTTTTTTTTACTTTTTTCCTTGGTTACATGGTTTTAGAATTAATTGATTTAGTATATGAACGTGAGTTTAATTTTCCTATCGGGGATGGTTTGTAATACTACTTTTTTAAATGGTTTTATTTGTATAAAAAAGTTAAGTAATGTAATTATAGTTAATAACTATGAAATAACAAAGTGATTCTCTTGTGTAGTATAATGTAATTGTACATTTTTGTGAATTGCAGCGAAAGCCGAATAGTGAGTAGGTAATATAATAGTAAAAGATAACGCACCCAATTGAACATAATAATATATTGGCATTTTTATAGTATTTTAATTATACGTAGTTCTGGGAATTCGTAATACTGTCAACCGATAGTCCGAGGCACGCGATAATGGATTATCCACACTAATGTTCATTTACTACTCACACATAGACATAGCCCAAATGTTCAAGTTATGTGAATTGCCTAAATATAACTCCTTAAAACATGATACACTGGAGCCCCCTTAACCAAATAAATTAACGTACAATTACAAAGTTAATCAATAATTAGAGACATTTTTTTTCAGAAAAATTTAATTTTGGCTAATACATCACTATCTGTTGATGAAATTAATCATAAGTTT